CAATTTACCTTGCGCCTGACATCCACCTAGCCAAGCACGTTTTGCACGAACTACATAATACTTTTGGAATCCACGGTTCGTCAAAGTCTTCAGGATCAATTTTAAAATAAAGCCTGTATGCAGTTTGCAACGAAGCAGTGAAATTGACCGATTTTGTAAATATATAGTTGCCACACGCGTAACAAAACTTTTGAGGATCATTTTTACACTTGAATTCACGTTTTGTCGTATTTTTGTCGTTTTTGCAATGTTAAAGAAAGAAAGCTGTCAAATTGAGTTGGTTGCGTTAGGTTCTCGCCGAGCGGTCTCACAAACACTAGCGTAAATTATATTGTTGAAAATATCCCATTTAATTTTGCGTGACAGCTGGTAGTGTTAGTGAAATGCACCGTATGCGTACACGTCCGCAGAAAGGCTTACTGGAAGTGGTGCATGAACCTAGGAGCGGAACAACGGCCAATCTTGGAACATTCAATTTCCATGATTTTACAAAAAAATTCATAACTTCGACAATTTCCAACCGATTTCATCCATTAAAGGCTCATTTTCTCCAGTTTTGAATGGACTGTAAGAATAAATTATGGAATGATTTTTTGAATCTTTTTATCCCATTAAAAATGTTGATTAAAACAAGATTTTTATGGAAAATTCGCAGGAAAAATAAAAAATAAATGCTGTAAATTTTTAAATGACTTCAAAATTAAATTTTTAATTAAGATATAATATTCTAGTGAACGATAGCAAATTTATTTAGCTTCACTTTCATAAAAAAGATTTAAAATTGGTGCACTAGTTCTAAAGATATTGACATTTTAGTAATGGTACTTTTGTCCAAAATTCAAAAAATCAAAATTTTTGTATATCTCAAAAATGGCTCTACTTTATTTTTTTTTCTGACCACGGCATTGAATTCAGCGTAGGATTTTGCATTAGAAACGTTGGTCAACCACTAAAGTTCACACTTTTTATGTTGTTTTGTAAACTAGTGTTATTAGACTGATGCAAAATTTGAAATTTTTGCTCCACAGTGCTCAAACGGTTCCAAATTGGGCCCTGATTAGCCTCCCAAAATTTGAACTCATTTAGTGAGAAACTGGCACGAACCATTTGAAGTTTATATGGGAATTACTATGGAGAAACCATAATTTCGGTTCATATCTATCTCAAAATTCACAAGTTTACTCTACTTTAAAAAATGATAGCTGAACTTGTTGAAAATTTTCTCAGCTACAACTTTGTTAAAGACCACTTTTCGAGAACATGTAAGGTACAAAAATTATTAATGATTCAAGTCACTGATGTCTTATGATTATGCTCAATCAAATGTTCAGCAGGCAACATTGGTGTTTATGACGCGTAGAATAGAACACAAAAATCATGGCTACTATGTCACACTGCAGAATACAGTGTTGCCCACATTACAGTTGCTTAATCTTGCCATAAGATTATCAATCTTTTTAAACAATTAATAACTATTTAATTTGACGTTTGGCTGAAAAACTGCAAAAACTTTTCTGCAAAGTTGTAGCTGATAAAAATTCCCATAAGAATAGCAATAGAATTTGTTAACAGTACAATATGTAAAAAGAATAGAAGACAATGAACAAAAAGTTTTGTTTCCGCATAGTAATTTCCATATAAACTTCAAATGGTTTGTGCCAAGTTAGATTCTTTTCAAATGAGTTTAAACTTTCGGAGGCTAATCAGGACTCGATTCGAAACCGTTTGAACACTGTGGAGCGAAAATTTCAAATTTTGCATCAGTCTACTAATCATCCTTCCTTTCCTAAAAGACCGTGTGGACGTGGCCAGCGCTGGTGCTGATCTTTAAATAGTTTGAATTAGTGAGCTTGCACATTGAAGATGGAAATGCTAATACCAAGCGATTTCTATGTGGTTCTGTGTGCAATTCCACAGCAACTACGATATCCATCTTGCCCCGCCTTACCCTATCATTCATACTGTAATCCATTAACCAATGTATACCCACGCAAACTAGCACCACCAGGTAGAGGAAAATGTCACCTTCCAGATGGTGGTGTTAGTTTGTATGGGCGAGTTATCAGTTTCGATAAATTGACATTTTAAGCTATTGTTTACAATAGTACTTACGTCGATTTGACTATTTGCTCGAGATATAGGGGAGACTCGACACACTTGATAGCCCTTGGTTTCTCGAAATGCTTAGCCGATATTTTCAGGTAAGTTTCCATAAAGTATCGCCTAGGCGGAAAGACGGAAGGTGGAACGAATATATTTTTGAGAGCAGTTCGTATGTTTTCAACTTCATACAAACTGAAAACAAAATCAAAAGAAACAGTACTAATTTAATAATTTCAATCGAATCCTGATGAATGTGGGCGTCTTAGTAGAATACCTGTATTAAGAGAGAGAAAAGGATTAGTAATTTCCATTTCCTTCTCTCTCTCTCTCTCTGTATAATTACAATCGATTATATTTATTCACTTATTAGCTGTGAACATTTCATACGTTTTGGTTGAAAATCCAAAAAGTTATTTAGAATTTTCATACTGGCTAAACCCTAAACTAACAAAATTTTCACAACTCTAAGCAGTGAACAAGTAGAATCGTTGAATTAGTACTGTTTCTTTTGATTTTGTGTTCAGTTTGTATGATGTTGAAAACCCCAATTATGGGATACTTGGTTTACACACACTTAAATCTGATATATGAATGTGAAAAAAATAAAACTCTGTTTGTGGAGATTGATTACCCTGTGTCCCCCAATTAATAAAATTGTTTTTTTTGTTTTTGACAAATTTTAGAAAACCGTACATTTAGGAAGGTAAATATCATGTCAAGGCTGTAGAGAATTAAAACCAATCCTATGAAAAGCCCCTGAGTTCACTTTCCTTTAAAACAATGTATGTCGTCAAAGAGGGATAAAGTCTCCCCGTTTTCAAAATGCGTTTTTAGACATCCTTCAGTCGTTTTACGAATTTAGACATAATTGTAGAGCCTTTTGAGTATTTACAAACTTACAAAAGATATTTCCCTGTGAACCTGTGCGAACACCGCATCAAGTTTCTATTTTTTCGCGGAGATATATCCAAAATCAAAACAGGGGTCAATTGTGTCTGCTCTCCCCTAATCAAATAAAATAACGACACAGGAATCAACATATAGTAAGCAGTAGTTTAAACAACCTAAATAAAAAATAAATTATTACGATGAACTCTACAAATACTGGGTGTTACCAGTAAAGGTTCAATGAGTCATGCAAATATTTGAAAACTTGTGTTTGCATTATGACCAAAATATTGCTCTCCATACGATCAGCAGATCGCCACATGCAAAAGTCCGCCTAATCACAAAAAGAATCAATCACGGTATGGGTCAAGGTGAAGGTAATCCAGCACTAACATGTCAAACTAGGTGCGTTCAAATACACGTTGTTTAGGTAATAGCAACAAGTTCCGTTTTACGAACCTTCTTGATGCCCTTTTCCACTACTCACATGCCATGGAATTGTACCTCACTAAGCTGATGGTGGCAAATGACTAATGTATGTTCATTTTTGAATAAGCTGCTAGCATTAAAATTTCCTTCAATCATAATTTAAGTCAATTATATTTCAATAACAGTAGGTCCAACGTCATCAATTTATACTAATTAGTTATTGCCAATTGCGGTTTTAAACTAATAATTGTAATAAAATGATGAGTAACGTTCGTCCGGTGCAAATTTCTTAATCAAATAACAGCGTCCTACGATAGAAGATTAAAGTTAAGTTCAAGAATCATCCATCTCCAAAGATGCCATGTTCTATGGAAGGGGCAATTTGTGATCCTATTTGCACATAGTTGCGAGATGAGTCGAAATCATGGATCGATCGTCAATATGTATAACGATCTTCTTCTTCGTTGGATTTATAACGTCCCTACTGAGACTTTAAGCCGGCCCTCAATTTAGTGTTCGTTGAGCACTTCCACAGTTGATAATTGAGAGCTTTCTAAGCCGATACAATTTTTGCATTAGATGGGTCAGCTACACAGTTCGAAAAGTAGTGTAAATTTCTGTTCAATATGATGCACACAAATGGAGCGTCATATTTCATATAAGTTTACATTATATATCATGTAAAGTTCTAGCACAATTCATGCAATGTAGCAAATATTGTATACAAACCCCATCTTTGTAAACAATATTGTTTACAAGTTGCTCGGTTGTGTGAAATTAAATTTAAGTTTACGTGAATGAATGTTTACATCACAATTAAAATTCAGAATTTTTATCTGTGTATTACGTGTATTAATTTATTTGTTCTTCAAAATCAACAGGTTCAATGCAATCATAATGATGGTTTTCTTTTTCAAACCAACACTGGAGCGACAGTGGGCGTGTTAATGTTGACAAATGTCAACAAGTACAATCATACACTGAGGCAAAATAACGTAAGAATTCCATAAGAACCACTTATGAATTGTAGCCACAAGAAATCGGTATGAATTTAAATGATATGCTTTATGAAAAATAATGTTGACAAACAATAATTAAACGGAGCCGACTGGAATCGAACCATGCACGTTGAGATTATGGTGCCCGTGTGTTGACCACTTGGGAAAATTAAATGGTAAAATGCGCATAAGAATAAGAGCTTCCTCATTCATGTTGGACGACAATCATTCATAAGCCACGCTTATGAAATTCATATGTGTCGAGCATAGTCGAGCCTTATGAAGTTCTTAAGTTTATTTACCTCAGTGTATGCCCAGGGAAGTCGTGCCATTTTTCAACCCGAAAAATTCCAAGACCAGACCGGGAATCGAACCCAGCCGTCTCCAGCATGAGCTGCGCCTTTACCGACTGAGTTAAGGGAGGCCCTATATCACATGTATAATGATCGCAACATGCGAATATGGCACGTACGCCTACCTACCTCTCGGAGCTCTAATATATTCGCGCAAATAGCACTGCTCGCTATCTGGCGCAGGGTGCTAAAGTTTTCTCCAAATATATAAAAAGCAATCCACAACGGACGGCCTCAGTTCATTCGAATCGGATGCTCGAGTTGTAACGGAAGCAACAGTGGTGTTTGCTGTTTGGCGATCGCAAACTCCTACCACCATCCAGGAACCAGAAGTGCGTTGCCCGTAGAGTGGACTGAAGCAAAACTCTCAATCTCGGAAGCAAGCTAATAGTTGCTTATACTTACTGTGTCAGTTGTGTGAATAAGGATAAAGGAGATGGCATCGTTTTCCTACGTAGTGCCCGTGGCGGTCCTGTGTGCCTTCTTTCTTCAGTTGCATGGGGTTCCACTGCCCGGTGTTGGTGACGAAGGTAACGGAATTCATCCTTTGAGCTCACTGTTCCATCCGGACGAAGGTGACTACTGGAGTGCAAACAACCAGTCGATGGAAAACAACAGCACTAACGGAACTCACAAGGATCTGTAAGTACCTCATTTTAGCTTTTACCGAAATAATGTTCTGAAATTGTGATTTAGATGCCACAAATTGATAGAGAAGGATCAGAGTTCACTGTAGACAGGCAAAGAATACCGAAATCTTAACTTTTGAATTAACGCTGGATTTTTGTATTTTTGAAATGCCCAAAACGATTAGAGCTTTTAACCTAAAGGCATATCCACTTTTGTATGTATCTATAGCAAGCTTAAACTTTTTTCTAACTGCGTGCAACGATATTAAAAATAAGAAATTACTAATCAGTAATTAGAAATTAGTAATCAATGGTATTATTCCCAATCATGCGTGCAATGAATCAATACAGAGAGTTGAACATAGTGGATGAAATTATTAGGCTGATTGAATCTCCTGATGACTTATTACTCAAGTAGAGTAAATTCAGGTCAAATACATAGTCAAAAAACAATTCATACTCGGCCTTCTCCGATTTATATGCAACTTTGTATAATAGTTGACTATTGTCTAACATTCAAATTTGGCCTGAAATTAGATCATTTTGACTATCGCTTCAGTTTTGAAGCCGTGCAGCACGATAACATATAGTCAAAAAAAAAATTATCCTATATCTACACTTAATGGAAACTCAACATTTGTGAAATCGTTTGAATTTAATTGAATGTCCAATGAATCGCTTTGAAAAGTCCAATGAAAGTTATGTGTCAATGATTTTCATATGACCATCATTTAAGACACATATTTCGGAGAACAGTAGCCGCTTGCAAACTAGATACGTTTTAACAGATTTTCCAATAGCGTAATTTTATATGAAAATCAATGGTTTTTACGCGTCATTTTCGTTCAGTGTAATGGAAAAAAATCCATGTGAATTCCATCCATCCCACCACAAAATCATAACTTCAGACAAATCTTCCCGACTCCTCTATTCGCTTGCGAACGGGAACAAATCATTGAACAAACGTTGCCAGCTGAATTGCCTGATGTTTTACATTAAATAACTTAAAATTATCAAATCAAAAGTGCCTGAATTAAAATTTTATTGTGAATGTATATTTCAAACTAAATGTTAAAATTTAATAAGAACATTTTTGTCACTGAATCGTAGCAGTAAAAAAGATGCAGAGAAGACGGCAACAGTGTTCGAAAGTTGTCATTCGCTTTCCCACCCACAGATGTAAACAAAATTGAATGCAGGTCTGGCAATAGGGATTTGCTGTCTCTGCTTTGCTTATGGTCTAGTTAGTGCACCCAACCGGGGGATGTAAGATTCGCTTACAATTATGTGGGATTCATCATCAGAGGATGTTAGTGGAGACCGCATGAACCGAGGATGCGATATACCTAGCTGCGGTCCAATGCAAGAAAATTGGAGACCGAAAAATGTAGAGTGTATTAGTGAGGTAAATTAGTTATGTCGAAAAAAATAGGAAACAGATCGCCGACTGGACTCGAACCACGAACGTTGCGATTATCAGACCTGTGAATTCTCCACTGCTCTCTCCATGCTTCTGAAAATGGATAGCCTAAAAGCAAACATGAAGCACTCATTTTCTCGCATACACGACTTCGTATGCTTTTTCTGCTGGAGAGATTCGAGGCAAGTGTGTGCGTCGTTCTACAAGCTTACTGGTATAGTCGAAAGCGTAGATAGAACACGAATTAAAAAAGACAAAAAAAAACCATTACATCGCCTGCATGGTCAATTTCTAACATTCGTTGCGATGTTCACGAACAAAGGATGATTGGAAACGGAACTAACATTCATTGTAATAGATTTTTGGTTTGCGTGTTAAAGAGTACGTATGACGCGTTTGACATACACGAAACGAAAATCAATTATTTTATTTATGTGTTTCACTTATACATTTTTGCCAAAACATCAGCCTTATACGACTCACGAAGAGCTACTGATTCCGATCAATAGCGGTACGGCTTCTTCCTCATTCTATGGATGTTCATGTGGGCTGCAGCTCGTTGCTTGCAGGCAGCCTTTCGTTGTGTACTGGAGAACAATGTTCAACGCCACACGCCGAAATCACTGCTGCAGCTGATGATGCCGACGACCGGACACCCGGTGATTGGAACGGAATCCGATCAGCGCTTGAGGCCAGCTTTGATAGCTAGCTGTTTGCAGGGAGCCTTTCGTTGTATACTGGAGAACACCACCACTCACCACGTGGTAATTGAATAAACACCGTTTGGTGAGACCGGATGGAATTCAACTTGGAAATCTGTGTTAGAGAAATCGCTTTTCGCAGGCAATCGGTGATAATTTGAATTATCATAGCAACAATTGCAAATTCGTGCAATACTCAATAGTGAAATTTTGAAATATGATTATGTCTTAAATTTGACCGATGCTTTGGAATATTTCTGGTCGATTGGTGATAAAATTATTGAAATTGGTCCAGGAGCAGCTGAGTTATTAACGTTCAAAATGTTTCATAATTTTGTTACATGTTCCATTTTCGGTTTTCACAAAGTGTACCTCCATAAAGTAATCACAGACGTAGACCTACGTCAAAAATATAATTCAACAACTCAATAGAACTATTTGTTTAAGAATTTCCAGGCATTTTTAAATTTCCCCATGTTTTTTCCAAGTAGTAGCCACTGATAATGTCTACGGGAAAGTTTTTTTTTAAATCTATTTTGGTCAATCTTTTTGCAAGACATTAAGGTGGTCCATGGAGTTGATGAGTTCCAAATATCAACTTTTTAGTTATTTGAAATAGACCAGTTAATTTTTTTAATGCTCTTATTTTCCAGGCTCATTTGCTGTAGCTTTGCGGAGCCGATATTCAAAAGTGATCATTTCATAGATCGCAAAATTACTTAAAACTAACGTTAGTAAAGCGGGGGCCGATTATTCGCGGCTATCTCGAGGTTATGGGTAAAAAATTGTAACAAATGGATGTCTGGGTAAGGATTGAGAACACAAGGTTTGGAGAGCAATGTGCTCTTTTTTTTAAGGGGAGGGGCACCCCTATTTGCTGTTTGTATGCAAACTGACCACTATTTAACGATTAGACGGCTAATTACCTGGACACATCTTTTCCCAGTCCGGTGTAATATGGTTTATAAAACCAACTACCTTTCCAGGATTCGCAGATCAAATTTCACTAGGTTGTAAGCTAATACATTCAAGAAATTTAGATCTACGCTTGTGTAATGCACCACAACTGCAGAGCAGATGTTCCGAGGTTTCACGTTCCAAATTATAGAAACGACAGATATCACTCTGAACCCGACCAATGTTCTTCATGTGATATATACTAGGACAGTGCCCAGTTACTAGGCCAGTGTATATACTAAGAGCTCTTTTATTGAGCTCTAAGAGCTTTTTGGTGTATATAATATTAGGAGTTATAAATCTTTTGGACTGGTTGCAGTTTGTGACAGTCATCCAATTGGCCTTCACCCTTTGCTCTTCCCAGCATTTGAGTTCCATTTTTTACCGTACAGTATGGTTCTGGTCGAAAAAACTGTGAATTGTAACCTAACTTTGTTAGGTCGTCTGCCCTTTCATTCCCTTCAATGCCACAGTGTCCTGGTACCCAATATAAGTTTACTGAGTTCCGTTGGCACAGTTGCCGAAGCGAGAGAATACATTCCCAGACGATCTTTGATGTACATTTGTAAGCACTCAGTGCTTTAAGCGCTGCTTGACTATCAGAAAAAATACAAACATTTGCACATCTGTATTTCCTCCTCAGACAAACATGTACACATTCAAGTATGGCTACAATTTCCGCTTGAAACACTGTTGGAAAATGTCCCATCGCAACTGAAATATTTGTCCCGGTGCCAAAGATTCCTGCACCTGTTCGTATTCCAATTTTTGAGCCATCTGTGAAAATATGATTGAGCCTTGACGAACGTTAGGTCACCCGCAAACCGACATGACCCTTAATTCTGACTTATGTCCGAAAATCGTTAACGGCCAATTTAAATGTGCAGTGATCCGAACTGTCAAAACCATAGGATTGATTGATCTAGATAAAAATAATTTGTCATGAATATATCATACACGAACCAATTCATAACTTTTGCATGCGGGTTCATGGCTTAGCTAAATATTTCCCGCGAACACGGAGCCAGATGATAGTTGTGTGCTTTGGTCAGATTTTTTTTGTTTTTGCTATAATAATTCATGTCGGTTTGTCGGTGGTTAGGCCACCAGTTTCCCAATCCGAACGTGCCGTTTCTGTGCTCTTGATCTCGAACTAAGCGACACTCTGATGAAAAAGATAAACATGGGGGTACACCGATGGGCAGTTAACAATTTGGGAGAACACAAGATGACACTAACTACTAAATCCTCAGATCTATCAGTTTTAAAAGCACATAAATTAAATTCAAATAGTCGAGATCTCGGCTAGCCAAGACATCTCTAACGGGTATCGCGGATTGTTTTCCTCGGGCCCTGAGGGATGTGGATAACTCAGATCTGGCAACACGGTGTAAGGTACATGACCAAACAACATGCTCGATATCGTGATAACCACTGCCCCACGCACATAAATCGCTGCCTGAGAGCCCAATACGATAGAAGTGCGAGTCTAACGAACAGTGATTGGACATAAGCCTTGACATAACGCCTATAAAATCGCGGCTCATGTCCAACCCTTTAAACCATGGTTTGTTCGACACCTGTGGGAGAATAGAATGTAACCATCTTCCCAAATCACCATCATTCCATTTTTGTTGTCAACTGATGAGGACTAGTTGACGAGCAATGGAGAAACATTTGTTAAAGGCGATTTGTCGCTCAAAAATATCCATAGCGCCCACCTTAGCCAAAGAGTCCGCTTTCTCATTACCCGGAATTGAGCAATGAGATGGGATCCAAGCTAAGGTGATAGTATAGGAGCAGTTGGATAAAGCACTCCGTTTAGATCGTATTTTAGGCAGGAAATACGAGGAGTGCTTCATCGGCCTCATTGAACGAATAGCCTCCGATGAGCTAAGACTATCCATAAAAATTAAATAATGGTCAGAAGGTAGT